AGGTCGTATATGTTCAACTCGAGGAGGTTGGATGGCCACCACGAGGCTGGTCTTGCCGGTGCCAAGGTTTGAAATTTTGGTTCGAAATTTGTCCCCCACCGAAATGCTCATATCTCGCCCGAAACTTTTGGTTTTTTTGCAAATTTTTGTGAATTTGGTCAAATTTTATTCAAATCCATTCAAAATCAGTCAAAATTTTAAAAAAATTCGTACGAAAAAAATCTGAAATTTTGGTTCTATCGCCCACCTGCGGCAGAAATCCTACTTTCGAAATTTCAAACCCTAGCCGGTGCTGGGCAGGTCATGGAGCAGGTAGCCCCGTGTCCACACGCATCCGACTCATGCGTAGTGCTCGTGATTGCTCACGAACTGGTGCAGGTCCGCTCAAATGGTGTCGCGCAGTGTCGGATCGATGGCGAGTATTTAGTGATTGTCCATGCCACCGCCGCTTTCGTAGAAACTGGAACTGTTGGTGTGGAGCTTACTCTCCCACATCTTGGCCCACGATGTCGCCGCCTCCTCAAGAATGAAGGGGATGTACACGTCATCCATGACGTTGCGGTCACGTCACCATAACTCGAGTCGCGGGCACCTTTGCTGGCTGCCGATTTGGACCGGGTGCTACACGAACCCACGGGAGGAGGAAGAGGAGGAGGAGAAACTTCCCCTGAATGACGCGAGCTAGCGTTCCCGTTGCAGAGAGAGGATGGAGAGAAATAGAGGGAGGAGGACTGTTTGTGTGTGTGGTGTTGATGACATGTGGGGTCCACCAATTTTTTTTTAGAATGAAATGTCCTAAAAAGTGAGTCCCATGCTGACTCTGTCGTCATGTCAGCCAAAACCGGAGCAATACTGCCTTGGGAGCTAATATAACCCGTTTTTATAAGTTTGGGGACGGGCTATATATACCTAATATTATAGCTCGTGGATGAATTTTAAACTCTACAACAAATTAAGGGACCTCAAGTGAACTTTTTCCTTTATTTTCTTCTCCTATGCTGGCCTAGCCAAACAGATCAGCCCACAAACCACCAAACACTAGTCCAGCCTACCAACATGTCCCATTTTGCTAGACTAGCCCAGTCTACAAGCCAATGGCCAAGCCGCTGAGCTAGCCGTCGGCCACAGCTTGTTCCCCATTGGCCTCAAAGGGGACTGGCCGCTGTCAAGCTGCCTATTGACGGTCCTTAAGTACCAAATCCAACCGTCAAATCCTATATAAACGCAAATGAAAGAATATAAAATAAAATACCAAACTTAGAGGTAGTGGTTATTACTAACCATTTCTACAAGTCTGGGTGAATATTTGTATGCAGGTGAATTATGGAGAAAACACACCCGCCATACGACAAAATACACATATTGCCAATCAGACGTGAGTACACGGAATGGAGGGCGCACAAATCATCTTCTGGCGCCGTTGCCGGGGAACGGTTGCTGTATCATCTACGAACTTGGTTCATCCTCTATATTTCTTTTTCTTTCTTTCCTCCTTTCTCTTCTCTTCTACCACGGAGCAGCCTATCTATTCAAAACCTTTCCGCTTCAAAAGGCGAGTTCTCTAAGCCACTACCTTTCAAAACCCATCTGGCTTTGAACTCCGTCCTAGCTTTGTAGCCATGGTTCGGGAGCACTCCTTCTCGCACAGTTAGGAAGACACATGGTGAATGGGGAGAACTCAAAAGCATGTTTTGTCTTGCTTTCTTCCTGTTAACCCGTGATGTCTTCCTATGGATGGAAATTCTCGGCTTTTAGCAGAGTGAGAAGAAGTCTGCCTCGTATGTTGATTTTTTCACCGGAGGCTAGTCGCACTGCAGAAGGTAGGGATTGTATCGTAGAGAACACCTCCCATCGTCCGATGTGAAACCCGCTAGGAAGTCGAGTATACCCGTTGAATCCAAGCCTATACTTCCACATCCCAAAATTCAACTGTTAAGCCCTCACTCGAGCCTCGGGTACCGAAGAAAGAAGAAATTCTGCCTCTGGAAATCCTTTTCTAGTTCGAGGATGATCTTTTTTAAGATTATGGAAGTACCTCGACCTATTCCCATCAGAAGAGACCACCTGTCCCGTGTAGTCCCTCTGCGCCGCTCGAATAACATTTTCTCAAAAAGACGGTGAGAGGATTGACTACCATCATGAGCGATGAGTGCTTAAGGGAGGTCGAGCTTTCTTTTGAAGTAATTCAGATTAGCTTCCCATCCTTAATTATTCAATGTCTTATGAGAGAGGTCATGGTGCATGATCTTTATAATCCCACTATCGGTGCTAGCTTCATGTCCGCAACCTCTGCATTAACTTACTTAGGGGAAGAACCATTAGCACCCACAGAAAAAACCTTCCATGAAACCACAAGCTATTACATCTTCTCCATCCCGATCTTCATCGTCTCTTCATCGGACTAATCCCTTGGTTGTACACTCAATAAGCACATTAGTCTCTTAATTGTTTGTCATCAATTAACCAAAACCCACTAGGGGCATAGATGCCTTTTCAATTTCTACTTTTTGTTGATTGATGACAACACAATTAAAACTTACAAAAGATTGATAATAAATGATTTTGAATCCAAATGTTAATTTGATCTCCCCCTAAATCTGTGCATATAAATATATGAAGTGAACTTATATGCACATATTTTTGAGAATGTGAGAGCCCCCCTAACTCTTTGTATCCATGGGGTGTATTGTGTGTGATAAGAGATACCAAAAGTAAAACAACAGACAACTCAAATTCTTGGCACCGATTCAAAAAGTATCAAATGAAATTTTCTATGCCAATTGATTCAATTTTAAGTATCAAATGAAGCATGACTAACCAAATTTTGGAATAAATTTCAAGTATCAATGGATAATCTCAATTGCATGTGACATGGTGATCAAATAATAAGCATTGCTCCAACTATATAGGATATAGAAATGACTTAAAAAACAACATTTTAAGCTTCATAGTATTTGATTTGGAATTGCAATTGTACATAAGACATGAATTTATTGAGCATGAGAGGATCCAATGCTATTGATAGGATATATAGATATATATAGAATTAGACACTCTTATTTTAGAAAGACAACTCACACCCCAGGGCCCTGCCGGGTCACCCTCGGGTAACTTATCATCACCGCCCCCTCTCCCTGTTGTTATTTGTGATGGCTACAAATAAGTCCGCAAGTGCACGGTGTTGATGAAAAATATGCGCTTGGCCTATGGTGCCAGAACTTTGTTGGTGCGAACTAAGTCGACAACAGCAATGACCTAGGAGATCTGCTTAGCTCCAGTGCAGGTCCAAAAATTGATGAGATGCATGTGTGCCAATCAGTTTGATCATGTAACTAGCAAGATATGTAAACAATATATCAAATAGCATTGCTTTCAGTATTCCCCAAAGATCTATGAAACTCTTTTATGTCCATCCACTACTTGCCTTCAGCTTCGTTAGGTTCAAGGTATCTGACAATTTGGTGTGTTTTGCCTTGCATCCGGCGTATAGAGGCGTCTCCGAGTCACCGACCAACCTGCTGAATTTTATGGAATCTCTCTCGTTGTAAGCTGTGTCCTCAACGTCATGTAATATGTCTTGCATCAGATCGTGATCCACATCAACCATTTCACCGCCTAATGGAGAAGGTACAAACATATTATGCTCATCTTCATTTTCCTAATTTTGTGCTCCACTTCTGTCTGCAGCTGCAACATCGTCAAGTGATTCTTGCTCTCCATGCTTCACCCAACATGTGTAGCCCTCCATGAATCCTCGTTGTATCAGATGAGCATGTACGTCCACTCTGCTATCAAACATATCTCATTTTTGCAATATGCACATTGACAACATATGTAATCTTGTTTCTTCTTTTCCTATCCTCCTCCGCGGTGTTTATAAAATTTAATACTCAATTTCTATACTATTTGCTATGACGTCGCACAGTTCTTCTATACATCCAACTTCGATCCATCGCTGCAAAAGTGAACAAAATATTAGATAAACATTTTGTAAGATAAGTATTACTAAATTAATTGGAATTGATTAGTATTTTTCACTTACTTTTATGAATTTTCTTTTTTCTTGGAAAAAAGAGACAAAAATCGCCCCCTCAATCTCCCACCAAAATAGTGAACAGTGGAATAACCATTCCCTTGGGGAGGAGGGGTGAAGTATTTATAGTGTGCAATAAATATTAGTAACGGTCACTGAACGGACATTGATGACGAGCACTCATTTATCTCAATCGGGTGTAATACTGAGCCCGTCACCGATGACAAACATCAGTGAGATTTATACTAAGCCCGTCATCGATACCTTAATTTTATCTCAATCAGGCCTAGTTTAGTGCCCGTCACTGGTGAGATTTATTGGTGACAGGCATACGTTTAGGGGCTGACAAAGATTACAAAGATAATCTCAATCGGGCCTAAACATAAGCCCGTCACCGATAGGAATCATCGGTGACGGGCTTTAGATGCATGCGTATGTATTACGTCTGTACGACTATATCTTTGACGGTGTTTATTTTGGCCCGTTTGAGATGACGATGCTGTGACGGCACGCAAGATCCCGACACGGCAAAAGCCGTTAGAGTTAAGGAGTTCTGTACTAGTGAAAAAAGGTCATCTAAACTAAGTCTTCTTGAGGGATTTCCATTGAAGTTCCATCACAGGACTCTATAGTTACTTTAATTAAGTACTCATATTATCACACCATGTCAAGACAAAAAGGAGATGTGTTTGAACAACTTACTATAACTGTGTTAACTATGCAACTAATATAATAGCTGTTTCACACATCATAGGATGGACACCACATGTTTTAACTCTACTTGAAAGCTCTTTTAGGCCTTAATTTTAACTTTAAAAAGTATCACAGATTCAATTATATTTAGAACTTTTTTTTGTTTTATTACAAATACATGACAAATGGCTGTGTTGTCCTCAGTCTGTCTTCATACTATACTAGCAAGAGACACGCGCTCCGCTGCGTGTGGACATGCATAGTATAATCCAAATGAGCTGAGATGCATGTTGAAGGCATTTATAGTTGTAAAGTGTACATATACATGGCATAAGAAAATCTTACAATCCAATATTAAACACAACATAAATCTTTTGATCATATATAGACGACCAAACAGCTTGCAGTGACACATGCATTGACAATTCGGAAAGAAAATAGTGAGATCTTGATGGACCACAAAACTCGGGTTTTCGTCAAATACACAAATGTATTCTCTTGTAGTCCTAACAAAAAAACAACATAATAGTAAACTTAGTACTGAATATATCAACTTTTAGGACCTGTTCAGATTGTAGCCAAAATAAACCTTGCAAATTTTGGTAAGCAATACCAAAATTTTGGTAAGTTGGCAATATTGCCAAAATTTTGACAGGATTTCTTATGTATTTACTAAAATTTGGCAACAAACTAAACATAGCCACATTTTTGGCAACTATGCCCAAAAATGGTATGGTTGAAAATGACATCAATCTGAACAGGCCCTTAGATAAAGTGCCACACATTTTCAAATAGTAATGCAACCTATAAATCTAAATAGAACTACTTCAACGATTTGTACAAATGTACAATCAATTTATGACTAAATATGACAATCAGGGAATGATTGCACTGAACTAATAAAACGTTGACCTGCAAACAATTTAATCCTCTTTAATCTCTTTTCACTGGACCGGCCTGCAAACACAAAAATAACAATTAATCCACACCATATATTATTTTTCTGTAGTTAACTATATTACACATAAGGTTAACATTTTGTTAACTATATTACACATAAATATGATACTAGTAGCAGAAAAAGAAAAAAAAGCATGGCAATATATTGGCTTCAAACGTACGAACACGGATAACCATGGAAGATGTGGGAGGCCTTTAAATGTGAAAATATTTCATGCGGTTAACTGCACTGAAATGAGTGTGCTTATACAGGATATGTAAGTAATTGATTTTATTGTGTGTACATGTTGCTGTGGAAAAAAAATGATATACACAATCCATACACAACCATTAGATGTCAGAGCCAAATTAATATAGACCGATGACATGCACTAATACATCCTTATGCTAAGGGTACATTAACAAATACAGGCAGAAGAAAACGACAATTCCGAATCCCTTTGTCATGTTAGAAAAAAAAATTTAGGAAGAAAATGCCCAAATTTGGCTGTTCATCCTACATGTCTAGTATAGCGTTATTGATTCATGGAAAAAGCTATTCAAGAATAAAAATTCGCTGTGGAGGAAACTTCCAAATTAACATCTTAAAGATGAATATGCGGGACTTTGAGCCATAGCCTGCAACTGCAAGTTTGAAATTATTTCTAGCTTGGTAAAGTCTTCTCATTCTGGTTCTTGTTGATAATGTAGAAAATAGAGCAAATGTTATAAAACACTTAATATTAAATTATGTAGATTGGAAGTTGTAACCTGAAAACTGGCTCCATTACGTTTATTTTGCAACAGTGAATATGCTAGCGGACATAGCTAGAAGCAAAGCAGAACTTTTATCCAACCTACCTGATCACAGCATCAGTAAGAAAATTCTAATGTGCATGCCACCATTAAAACTCAACACTGCGTAAATGGCAGCATGATGAAAACAGGAACAAAATAAATTATTTATGATGTCCATGTTAGCAATTAACATTACCTGAACAGCATTATCTCCATAACTTTAATGGACACCTTGTTCTTGTCCCTCCCAACCTTATGGTCATGCTGTCATGAACTGATCCATGGTGTTTGCAGATGAAGCACCAGTAGATCAACTAAACTTCTATTTTTGCATGCCTGATACTGCATTACTTTCAGTCATAAACATCATGTGAAACCTGAAATAGGAAAGCGACGACCATTTACCACCCAATAATTAGAGCAAGAATGGTGCCTCAAAATACAATTTATGAAAAATGAAATAGAAAGATGCTGCGGGAGAAGCAAAGCATCCACCATAGCTCCTTTCTAAATTGAATTGTTTTTAGGCTTAAATATGTGTCACATCCTTCTTTCTATCACCATACAATGCATCATCCACTCTTTGTTCTGTAGACAATTTACAGTGCACAACACACATTTAGAGAACAAACTATGGGCAGCAAAAACACTGACACACACACAGATAAAGAGCAGTAATACAGTTATACAGCAAGTGGTAATTCATGCAGCAATCATTCTTATGGTCTTTTACTTGGCCAGGTTAGTTATTTGCTGGCACCTAAGGAACTATAATAGTTAACATAACTATCATGAGATTAGGTCGGTCCCAACAGCAATCAACCAAGGATTTTGGAAGAATGAAGAAAATACCAAAATTTTGTAGCATGTGAGTCTCACGGTTGCTTTATGCAGACCTTGGAAGCCTTATCCTAACTGAATACAGAAGATGCATATCCATCTGTGGCAAGTTAAAAAACTGTCAATTGTATGAGGCATGAACAGGACATAAGAGAACACACAGAAATCAACCAAGATTGTCTATCATGGATCGATCGAAGGATCACCTTTGGGATGTATAAGGAGGTGGGGGCTCCGGTTGTTGAGCAGATCAAGGTGCTGAGTCAGATCTGTAAAAAAAACAGGAAACGATGTGAGTGTAGAGAATGGAGAAGAAATGAGGATTTAGCACCGTGGAAACAGGAAGCCCAACCCAGCTTGCTTGATCCAATCTTTGCCTCAGAGGTAGAAGGTGGACAGGCACACTTGATATGTCGGAGGAGTTCCCAGTGGAGTCCAATCCAGAGGAAGGAGGCTGCGGCCGTGGTCGGCGACACTCCACGTTATAGAAAGCTTGCTGGTGGAAGCACCAATTGCTACGAAGGAAGGAGGGGAACTCGCTGCGTGCCTTCCTCTCCCCATCCCCTCTAGCTCTCGCCCTCTCTCTTTCCGTCTTCATCGTCAATGGACCGTTGGAGGAGGTGAAGGCGGCGGCGCGTGACATGTCACTGCACGAGCGAGAGCGAGGGCGAGGAGCGCGGCGCACGGAGGCGAGGCATGAGCTGGCGGGGAGAGAAAGGGCCGCGAGAGCGGCGAGATCGACGGCGCACTAGGGTTTTGGTGGCGCTTCACCACTGGAGAGATCAAGGCCGTTCGTTCGTCCTTCCACTGATCCGAGGGCTATGGAAGAGCCGGCACAGTTGGGCTGGGCCAAACGAACGACCAGCCCAAAGAAATGGCACGCTGAGGAACGTGGATGGATGGATTTGCTCCTAGCCAAGATCGAACGGATCACAGTAGCTGAAACCCCTGCACAATTAAACAGAAGCACAGGATGTTTTCTGAAAAAATCGATGACGTGGCAAGCTAATTTTTCACCGCTCCCACGACGTTTAGATAGAGTAATATAACATTTGGATGTGATGACGTAATAAATTAGTTTTTTGTTTTGCACTTTGTGCATGCAGATCGATATGTGGAAATTGGTATTGTTGCTGGGGTTCCAGTCTCCATAAATGGAAGAAATATCTCAGCAGCATTCCTTCTTGTGTAGCTCAACAAAATTGGTGGGAAGCATGGGATTGGACGCATCGATATGGTGGAAAACCGTCTTGTTGGCATGAAATCGCACAGTGTCTATGAGACCCTTGGTGACACCATAATGGCAGCTGCCATTCGTGAGCTCGAGTCCCTGACCCTTGATAGGGAGATCATGCAGTGGAAAGACATTCTTGCCCTCAAAATACGCCAAGTTGGTTTATGTTGGCCGCTGGTTCGACCCACTCCAGCAATCCATGGATGCCTTCATGGAGAAGGTTACCGAGACAACAACTGGTTCGGATACCCTCAAGTTGTACAAGGGTTCACTAAAATTGCATCCCGGAAGAGCCCCTACAGCCTGTACGGGGAGGACATTTCCTACAGCATGGGATCGGACGCATTGATATGGTGGAAAACCGTCTTGTTGGCATGAAATCGCACGGTGTCTACAAGACCCCCGGTGACACCATAATGGCAGCTGCCGTTCGTGAGCTCGAGTCCCTGACCCTTGATAGGGAGATCATGCAGTGGAAAGACATTCTTGCCCTCAAGTACACCAAGTTGGTTTATGTTGGCCGCTGGTTCGACCCGCTCCAGCAATCCATGGATGCCTTCATGGAGAAGGTTACCGAGACAACAACTGGTTCGGTTACCCTCAAGTTGTACAAGGGTTCAGTAAACATTGCATCCCGGAAGAGCCCCTACATCCTGTACGGGGAGGACATTTCCTCGTTCGAGAATGGAAAGATATATAACCAGGCAAAAACGCTGAGGGATTCATCAGGTTGTATGGTCTCCCCACACGAGTGCGGGCAGTGCTGGACAAGGGTCTATAAGATTTAGACAAAATCAATCACTACTACAAAAGTGATTTTTCTGTACAAGACCTCTTCATTTTTGCAAACGGACCATAACTAGTGGCGTATGCAAAAATCGAGCGGCATTTTCGCAGACGGCTGCTTAATACGCCTGTATGAAAAAATCGATTTTCCCATACAAGCCTCTTAAGAGGTTGCATGCGGCTCACTTAAGCGCCCGTATGGAAAAATCGATTTTTCCATACGGGAGTCTTAAGGAGCCGTATGCAAAAATAAATTTGAAAAATTTAAAACTAGTGTATCTCACTCATATGAACTCCAAATTGGATTATTCTTTTTCCTAAATGTTTCTAAAATCATGCTTTATCATGTTATTATGTTCTTACTGCTATTATTTTGGCCATTTTTTTGTGACTTTATTTTATCAATTAAAAATTTGAATTTCAAAACTTTAAAAAACATTTTCAAATACTAAATGATTTCAGCTGAAAAAGTCATCAATAACAAAGTTGTATAACTCATGAAGATCTATAACTTCTATTTTGGTCATTTCTTCATCCGACGAAGTGATGGTAACATTTGTACAAAATTTACATATCTCTCTTATAGTTTATAAAACAATATAAGAGATATGTATATTTTGTGAACAATCTTATAAATCACTTTATCGGATGAAGAAATGACCAAAATAAAAGTTATAGATCTTAATGAGTTATACAACTTTGTTATTGATGACTTTTTCAGCTGAAATCATTTAGTATTTGAAAATGTTGTTTGAAGTTGTCATAATTTGAAATTCAAATTCAAACTGTCGAGACAAAGTCATATAGAAAAAATGACCAAAACAAAAAAAGTTGTAGATCTTGATGCGTTTTACAACTTTGTTCTTGACAATTTTTCTCATTTCAAATCATTTATTACCCGACAAATTATTTGAAGGGCTTCCCCGCTCGAGGACGACGACAATGACGAGGAGGGAGGGCTCTCCTCTTCCTACTTTCGCGAGGCGACGACCAGGCGGGCGTGGCGAGGCGGCGGCAGCGAGCGGGCGCGGCGGCGATGGCCAACGGCAACCGGCCCCCACGCGCTCGGATCCAGCAGCGGCGGCCGTCCCCCGCCCAGATCCGGCGGCGGCGGCCGTCCCCCGCGGCGGTGAGGGGCGGCGGCTGGTTCGCTTGCCGGCAGGCGGGCGGGCGGCGATTTTTCTTTTTCTTTTTTCCTTTTGGTTTTTTTATTCCGTGCGGGTGGTATAGTATGCCCGCACGCGAAAATAATGATTTTCACAGACAGCGGTGTGCAGGCGGGCCAAATGACCGCACGGAAAAATAGATATGCCCGCCCGGGAAAATAAGTTACGTAGTAGTGACGGTGCTTTTATGCATGGTACCTCTGCTATTGTAGTACTCCTATGTTAGTAGGATTTGACATATGCTCCTAGTTCCTTCTCCGTTTTGTTCCCCTGATATTTTTCCCAAAAACATCACATCAAATCTTTGGACACATGTATGAAGCATTAAATATAGATAAATAAAAAAACTAATTGCACAGTTAGGGGGGAATCACGAAACGAATCTTTTGAGTCTAATTAGTCCATGATTATCCATAAGTGCTACAGTAACAAACATATGCTAATGACAGATTAATTAGGCTCAAAAGATTCGTCTCGCGGTTTCCATGTAAGTTATGAAATTAGTTTTTTCATTCGTGTCCGAAAAGCCCTTCCGACATCCGGTCAAACATTTAATGTGACAACAAAAAAATTTTCTTTTCCCGAACTAAATAGGGCCACGTACTCCCTCCATACAAAATATGAAGTGATCCTAGGAATTTTTTAGAGATTAAGTTCACAGGGAAAAGACTATGATGTGGGTATGTGGGGAGTAGGAGGATGGTTGGGTAATATTGAGTGAAAATTAAATAAGAGATGTTTAGATGTGAGAAATAGTACTCTGAAATCCTATATTTTAGGACCAAGGGAGTAATCCTAAGAAAATCAGCTCCTATTCTCCCTTTATTATTTGGAAGGCATGCCTTTCCTTTGACTAGTTCTATACATGGATTTAAAAACTCACTAGGCAATTGCAGTTTGAAAAAGAGGGACGACTAATAATAGTAACAATCTATCAACCATTGGATCCATTGAATATTTACCTGTTTCAAAGTCCACCTATTAAAGGATCGGAACAAGTGATTGCAAACTATTCAAGTATGGATATGGATGCATCATGTTGAAATGCAATAATTGATGGAAGGTACTATGTAGCCAGATAGCTATTTTGGTTGTGTATCCAATCTGTTAGCGTTTAAATCTTAAAATCATAGATTTGACAGTGTCCTTTTCGCCCAACCCACCGGACCTCAAATCTTTAGACTTGAGCTGGTATCCGTCAATCCTAGAAGTACACATAATTGCATGTATAGTGGGTATGCATATGTCTGTTTATTCTGTTATTGACTTTGTGCTAATTGTGTTGCAATTAGGGGTGTACCGTAGACACTTAAAAAAACTTCACGCAATTTTATTGGAGTTAGTTGAGAAACGAACATTAACTGTACTTTACTTTGACATGTCTTATTTAAAAAAAAAATAAAAAAAAATCATTGTTCAAAGTCCACTTTTGTAAAATCATGGGTGACAGTATTTTGTGATGGTATGCTGTCACCAAAATTGTTTATGACAGCCCTCTGACTTTTGGTGATAGCGAGGGGTAGTCACTAAATGCGTAGAGTAATACTGACGCATTTCAGAATCGTTCTTTTTGTGTATATATATTCTACCCCAAGCTCGCATAGTTCACACTTTTGTGTATGAGGAAAATATTTTGGAAACTTTTCACTAGTGTGAAATATATGAACGCCTAGGGGAAATTGATATTAACCTATGACGAAATGTTTTATTTTTTTAAACTTGTTCCATGATACACCACCTATTTCCATTTTTTGAAACTGATACACCTATTTCCATTGATCTGATCTCCAAAAGAAAGTTTTACAGATCTAGGACGCCAAGCTTGACACATCTCATCTCGCTATTTCAGATCTTACATGAAACTTCATCACAGAAAATAATGAAGGACCAAATTTGTTTATTCATCGCTTTGATCACACCATGAACAAAGAAGGGAAACCACAGACGCATATATATCATATATGTATCCAAGGGCCACTTCTACGGATAGACCTCAATGACACACCGAGGTCCCAATTTCTTCACAATCTTGTAGTCCCTGAAGCCTACTTTCATGAAGAGATCTCGCCAATCATTCTCGTCCCGCTGTCGGCTTTTGGTCACCAACATCACGGCCACATCCATAAGGAGTTGGGATTCCAGCATTGGCCCTGAATCAGAACCGACTACTATGTCGATGATTATCACTTTCCCTCTCTCTTCTTGGAGCGGAACCGCTTTCTTGCATTGGGCTAGGATCTTTATGCAGTCCTCGTCGCTCCAATGGTGCAACCTAACCTAACCATGGATAAAATTGTGCAAGTCAACAACACAAAAAAAAATAGTGCTCCCTTTTATAAATATATGATGATGTTGATTTTTATTTAACATTCGGTTATTTGTCTTATTAAAATAATTTGAATAAGCTAGCACAGATAAATTTATGTAAGTCTTAATCTTAATATAAAATCAATCAGAAAACATATATATTACATATTACATAAATATGTGAGAAAAGTCAAACCTTAATCTAAAGTCTTCAAACCAAACCAGCCCCGATCTGCTCTTCCCTCAGCGTTTTGCGCTGGCGTGGACGCTGCCGCGTCGCGACACGTCAGCGCGCGCGGGAAAACGGTGGAATTTCGCGAGCCCTCGTGCCTCCGCGTCGTCTTTGAAAAATTTGCAGAAAAGCCCTCGCGTTTGGTGATATTTCGTGATAGATGCTAATCAAAAGTTTTTTTGTTTAAAATTATTGCATTTAAGACCTCCAAAATATTGAATATTCAATACAAAGAAGAGAAAATTTGGAAAATAGGACTGCGCTCGGAAACATGGAAACTAATGGGCTATTTAGCAAAAACTTTTATCCCTACCAACCCCTCCTCCGAAACCCTAGCCGCCACCATTCGCTCCTCCCTAGCCAACACCGACGCCGCTGCCTCCTCCTCCTCACGCCCTCCTCACCCCCTTACGCCACGCCGCCGCATACTCTCTCGCACCTCCCTCTCGCCACCGCGGGGCCGGTTCCGGTGTAGGGGAGGCCGTGGCCACCGGATCCGGCATCCACGACCTCCCCGCCGGCGGATCTAGCCACCCGAAGGCGTGGGCTGGTCTAGTATAAGAGGCTCATCGGTAGTGTCGATGGTGGTCCTTTCTCCATAGCAGCGAGCTCCATGGGGAAAGACTTTGCTCCTTCATTTTCTTCTTCCCTCCTACCCCACTCCGGCGCGTCACCTACTCTCCTCGCGCCGCTGCCCCCTATTCTCCTCACAGTCACAGCACCGCCGATGCCTCTTCTCGCACCCAATCGCATCGCCTTACCTCCATGTTGCTACCGCGGGGCCAGATCCGCCGGTGGGAAGGTCATGCCCGCCGGATCCGTCAGCCATGACCTCCCTGCCGGCGTATTCGGTCGCTCGGAGGCGAGGGCTATCACGGGAGGCACATCGGCAACATCGACGACGGTCGTCTCTCCATGGCAGCGCACTCCACAGGGAAAGGCTCTGCTCTCCCACCCTCTTCTTTATTCTCACTCTCCCTCTCACCGTGATCCAGATCCATAGCTGGGTGGGGAAGTTGAATATGATCTAGAGCTGGTGGGGAACTCGTGCAACCCCCTTCACTGCCGGTCCATCCCATCCCATGTGCGGCTGCGCGAGGCGAAGATAAGCGAAGATGCCGAGATCGCGGCATTGGCCACGGTCCGTTTGCAGCTTGATCTATCTTGATTGATTATTTTGGTTCATCCGGTTGTTGTCTGCTTGCCAGGATATGGTGGTTGTCTCTTTGTGGATGGGACATGATGGATCTAGGGATTATGGACAAGGTTGAGTACAACTACTTCTTGGACATCTCTAAAATACAGGCCCGCTCGTCCCTATGCACCACCTACTATTGATCTCTGCAGGTACTTTTTCCTCCATCCCTCTACCGCCTACTGCTTACTCTGTTGTTGTTTGTAACTTATGTATACCATGTACTGACTTTAAGTTGCATCGATTGAACCTATCCAGCATTAAAAATTTTTCATTTTTACACTATGTTGTCAGATTACAGGATCCCAATATCTGAAACCACATATTATATCATATCTTTCAGTGTCTGAGTATCTGAGACCACCTATTATGCTGGATCTTTCAGTGTATGGAATTCTAGCCAGTGTGCTTTTCTCTCTTTGTTGCAATTAGCGATGACCTGATTGGGAGAAGTAGGTAAAGCTGTGCTGGCTTTGACATATAGTAGCGACTCTTGCTGCATCAAACAAGTGCATCATCATAATATGGATATCCAGGGAGGCCTGCTGGACAATCAATGCTGTTGTGGTGGTGAAAGTATTATGCATAACACTCCTTATTTTGCTATCAAAATGTTAATCAGGTACATCATAATGTTTTTGCTTTATATTTCCCATGTGTGCTCTGATTTGTGGTGGTTTGCCATGCAAATGCTCTTTTCCTCAGTGTGATGCTCTGCTCATCCATTACATGGTATGCTGATTGCTTTGCTTAACAACTCCATCGATGTGGTAGCTAATTTGTCATATGTTCGCAATCTCTTGCTTTTTATCTTCTTTGATCTAACAAAGAAAATATAACCTTGGTCATTTTAGTAAAACAATCTTTTTCTACTGAGTACTTACGAGAACTATACATCTCCACGCTTTAGTTAAATAGAAGAACATACCTTAATTGACAGTATATGCTTATGAGAACTCGCATTAGTTTTTCCCTTAGGATAGCTGGCTTCAAAATTTATATGCTTTTTTCCCATAACAGCAAGCTTAGATGCATTTCATCCTTTCTTGTGCAGAATTCAAAGTTCGGTCTCCATCAAAGTGATGTTTAATATTTATGACATATATTACAGATGCTTGGGCATGATGTGCTGTAAATTTAGAGGGGTAAGTCCGTGCTATCAAAACGGAACATCCAATAGATTTTTGGTTCCAAATACTCAGACTGTATGTACTTTTTCATAATCTGAACATATTGAGTGTTTTTTTTACTTTGTGGCCATCTGTCCTATCATTTTGTTGTAGGCCGCAAAAATGGAGAACTTCTCCTTCACTTGAATTTCTCTATTCCAAACTTGAATACTTAGTTTAATTGTTCACTTTTGTTTAATAAATATCTTGTCCTTTTTGGTTAGATCTTAGATTACACCGTTTAAGATCTAATTCATTTACTAGCAGTGTACATACTACATTTTATTCATTCTGTGCTTGTAATACAGTTCAAATATAGGACTGAAGTTCTGGTTTTAGTGCTCCTCTTATCCATTTACTAGCAGTGTACATGCTACATTTTATTCATTCTATGCTGGTAATACAGTTGAAATATAGGACTGAAGATATGGTTTTAGCGTTTTGTGTCAATCTTTTATGTTTGACTAATACGGTGAGTAACTCATTTTTTGAAGCAATTAAGTTGGGGCTAAAATAGTTCTTAGATGCATTAGCACCTAACTGTTGCCTGTCAGTTTGATCTAAAGTGCTCCTCTTATCCATTTACTAGCAGTGTACATACTACATTTTATTTGTTCTATGCTGGTAATACAGTTGAAAGATAGGACTGAAGTTCTGGTTTTAGTGTTTTGTGTAAATCTTTTATGTTCGAATAATACAGTGAGTGACTAATTTTTTGAAGCAATTAAGTTGGGGCTAAAATAGTTCTTAGATGCATTAGCACCTAACTGTTGTCTGTCAGTTTGATCTAAATGTTTTCACTCCACATCAACATGGTGGTATAGCTGCCCACTCTGGTCCTGGGAATGGATGGTGAGTTCATCTAACAGTACAATTGCAGAGGTGCATGCAGGGCCAGCCGACGAGTGGTCCAGCTGCGTATGTTTGATGCAAAGTATTTAGCGGTGTTAAATCTGATTCTTGAAGTTGGCAGAGGCACTAATCATGTTTGCCACTCTTCCAAATGTGATACTGCACTTCCATTTAAAAATTTAATCGGACCCTTCCATCTAGAAAAAAAAAATGATGCTGCACTCTTGATAAAAAAATCTCTTCAGGTTTGCTTTGTATATGTTTAGATCCTTCATGATTTCAGATCATTGACTGTTTTTGGTGCAATTAATACAATTCCTTCTAAATTTGCATGGAAATATAGAAAAGTAATTGGAACAGAAGTTCACAGCTAAATTTCTTTTGGCTAAACCTGGTGATGACTGATTATTACTATTTTGTTAGCTCATCATGTAGTGTGATATTTGAAACTGTTCAATAATTTCCTAGGTAGTCTATCTATTTTCATCCTTTGCTGAACAATATTTTCATTGGTACCAGCTATGTGTTTGTGGAATTGCTTCCTTGGCAGCAGCTGTGGAAGAGTAAGAAAGGAGAGGGAGTTCAGGGCAGAGCTGCCTCTATCCACCGCAGCGGTACTTCCAGCAAATCATGGACCAGCGGTTGGTTTCACGTTGTGCCTCCACACTTGCACGTCCACCTTCAAATCCAAGAAGGCCTCCACAATTGACAAGGTGCATGTGCTTTCCTCTTGTTGCTTTCTTCATGCTTGCTTCATTGTATAAATTTGACCAAAATTTTATTTGTGAATGCATAAGAACAAAACACTATAGGGTTGTGTTCATTCAATTGCAAATACGCCCACCTAAAATGTTCTTGGAAGTGGTTTGGCTCTAAATCTGTCATGGACTAATGTGCTTTTGGTCAGCAAAGGATGAGAACCCATATTTGTAGACATCAGGAAATTTAAAACAACAAATGGATTTTCCAATGTTCTTTTTTCTTAAATATGCCCGTTAATATATGGAGTGTTTATTGATGGGGTTGTAGAGTCTATTTGTAATAAAATCTGTTGCTAGCCTGACAGTTATGCACTCTTCTCCCTTCTCTTGGCAGTAAATCATTTCCCTATCACTTACCCTGCACTCCACATGTTTGTTGTATTGCATCTTAGGACAAAGAGCAGCCTGAAGAAAAGGGAACAATGGCAATCTGCAAAAGATTTATAGCCCTTCATCTGGAACCTATGTTCCCCCCCCCCCCCCAAACTATTGAGTACTATTTTTTACCTCGGCCTCCCTTAATTCAAGGTAAAATTGAAAATATCATTCGAAGGTTTGTAAAGTACTTTGTATTTGGCGTTTGAATCCTACATGGTTGCACAATTTCTGTACACTATCTCTTAATTTTGAGGAAAAGTTAGTAATTATTTTTAAGACAAGCTAGCTATATGAAGTTTTTAAGATATAACCTCTATTATTAGCTGTTGGTTCTCTCTGGTAAAACAAGTATGCAGTTAATCAATCTGCCCGTTGTGACCTTAAAGCAAAAGCTTTGCTTACCTATCCTTGCTTTTCTACAAGTTAAGTTGAAATAATAGCATGATGTAGTTTATATGATGACTAGGACAGTGGCACGGTTCCTTGCGAGACATTTTTTCCTCTTTTGAAACAAACTACACATTTATTTTAGAGTAAAGTCCATCACCGGTCCCTAAACTTGTACCGCTGTGTCATCCCGGTCCCTAAACTCGCAAATCAACCGCTCAGGTCCTCAAACTAGTTTGACTGTCATCCCGGTACCTAAACTTGCAGATCACTCGTTTAGGTCCTCCAACTTGTTCAGTTGTGTCACCCCGGTCCCTAAATAGGACGGTCTAAAAACTTTATATCAAAATTGTAGCCCTCGATGCGACCTACAACTTTGTAGTTGAAAAGTTTTTGAATTAAAACTGTTTATGGTCCCAAAATATTGTTGCATGTTTATAGATTTTGAAATTTTAATTTTAAAATTACATTTTGGGACAAAAAATGACTTAAAATAAAAAAAATTCAACTACAAAGTTGTAGATCGTGTCGAGGACTACAAGTTTGATATAAAGTTTATCTTCATTAGAGTTCACGTGAAAAGGTTATGAATTATTTTTAAATATAAAGTCTTTAGACCGTCCTATTTGACCCAGATGATATTCAAATCCAAGTTTAGGGACCGGGGTGACACAACTGAGCAAGTTGGAGGACCTAAACAAGTGATCTGCAAGTTTAGGGACTGGGATGACACAGTCGAACAAGTTTGAGGACCTGAACGATCGATTTGCGAGTTTAGGGACCAGGATGACATAGCGGTACAAGTTTAGGGACCGGTGATGGACTTTACTCTTTATTTTATATAGTACAAGTTATTTGTTCAGCCCATTTCCAAATGGGCTAATTTTGCACTTTGATTAGGCCTTTGCTTATATATAAACTTTTTTACAATATTCTCTTGCTGCTGTTGCTGAGCCTCTTTTCTCATTCTAAGCTTTCAGCAGGGCAGCTTTGCTTTTAAGTAAGTGACATATTAACACTGCAGTTGTTAAACTATTGGCTGTGCAATACTGTGCTGGTCGATTTCGACACATACTAAATGTTGTGATCTTTTGATGAGTAATTTACTTTTTTTATAGCTGTAGGAATTGGTGGAAGCACAGTTGGTTTGTTTCTGCTCATCATCATTTTAGGTGCTCAACAATAGGCAACCAACTTGCGGTGTTACCATGAAGCTTCAGTTGATGTTGAGTGTTGTCCTGCAGGTTGTAACCAAATTATGACTAGCTTGTACCTTGTAGTTTCATCATATTCCTTTAAACATACTGATAGTATCTGCTCACAAAAATATTGTGCTTGCAATGAATTAAGTGTTAAAATCACATACCTATAATCTATGTAAAAGATGCACAACACCAATAGTTTAACGATAGATTGACATTTACAATCCTGTCCATTTCAACTTTATTTGCTGCATAAATATGTTGTTGGATAAATTATTTGGTTCACTTTCATGATTATGAGAAAAATACTAAGAGAACAATTTAGATTGTTTACATGTTTGTTGTGTTTTTAGTATGGATAAATCATTACTTCGGTTTTGGCAATCCTTTTTGTGTTTCCCTGTCATTGAGATGTTTGATTGATTTCCTCACATTGGTCTAAGATTGGTACAGTACCTGCTGGTGCTCCTTCGGTTAATTCATTCACAGATTACACCACTACTGCATTCATCCTTACAATTTAAACATACGCCACAAAAATAACTCCATTAACTTATTTTATTCACATTCAGAAAAAGAAAATTAGGAGGGGACGACTAATATTGTTGAGTAGTTCAACGCCACAACATTATTGGCTCTCAATATTGACACTAAAATTGTATTTTTGCAGCACTTCTCGAGCAACTATGCATAAGTGGAAGCAATTCATCGTACCAAAAAATGTGCCTTCTATTTACACATCAACAAGAAGGCCCTTGCAGTAAACCAGCAATGCAATCCTCTGAATTCATGGGGAAAAAGGTCAATTACTGCAAAGGCATCCAAACCACATTAGAATTTAGCCATCTGTAATATAGTCGTATGTGCTCATCTAGCAGAACTGTTGCAATGCTACTGCTATAAAGCTACTATGTACTGTATATCCTGTCATCGTACACATGGCAAGTTTTGTTATGTATTTACTGTCCTCAATCTGTATACATCATTTAGTTATACTTATACATGTCCTTCATTGAACTTACAAAGAACATTGTTTCAACTGCCTACCTCAACTTATGTAATCACTGATTCTCCTAAATGGCACCACTGGTGCAGCGTGCGAAGCACGCGTTCGCCTCAAGTTATATTAAAAACTTTCATGTGTTCAGATTAAATTAAAGGTTTCACCGATTCAGAACTAGTGCAGGTTTCTTTTCGTGTAAGATATATATACAAAATGGATTACGAATTACTCACTCATGTTGTTAATTAATTAATTAATTACCTTGCTTGACTCGGTGGGATGAAGTCGAACATGTCACCTGCCACGTACTCAACAACACCGTCGGCCGGGACGTCGCCGACCACACGGGCGAGGTCCAGCACTTGACGTGCGGGAAGGCCTCGGCGATGGCCCTCGCCGCCGTGCCGTCGCCGCCGCCGCAGTCGGTCAGCGACTCGACGCCGTCGAACACGTCGCGGCACTCCCGGAGAACCACGGCGAACCCGGAGGCGTCGTACACCCTCAGGCCTTCCTGGAACAGCGCCGCATCCTCCGGGCCAAGCCTCGCTGTGCTCTCGAGAGGTGTCACGCCGTGGACGTGCTCGAACGGCGACGGCGGCGACGGAGCCGGGAAGTCCTCCCTGAACCAGCCGGCGAGCCCCGCCACGGTGTCGAGGCAGTGCCTCGACGTCGAGGCGAGCACGTGGGGCACCTGGCTGAGGTGGCCGTCGACGACGGGCACGGCGGCGGCGGCGCCGTCCACGAGGAAGAAGGAGACCGGGGTGAGACGGTACGTCGTCCCTGCATCGTCGGAGGCGAAGATGCCGGAGTGGACCAGCAGCCGCATGAGGCGGCGGAGGAAGGGGAGCTTGGCCGTGGGGAGGGACAGCGCGGTGACGAGGTCGGGCAGCGAGGCGGCGCCGCCGTGGCGGTGGATGGCGGTGGGGATGCCGAGGTGGACGGCGCACCGGAGAGTCATGGAGGTGAGGTAGGAGAGGGTGTGGCGCCACAGCTCGGCCTGCGTTTGCAGCATCTCGTCGTCGGTCGGGACCAACATGCTTGGAGCCTGATCGGATGCTGCCATTTCTGTCTGCTCGACTTCTTCTCTGAGCTTGAACGATGGAAATGATTGCATTACTTCCTATCGATCGTCTGTCTGACTCTGGCGCGATTACGAGGGTTATAAATAGTAATCCTTTCGGTTTTTAATAGGGGACGCTATTGGCTTTAGGATATACTTATCATTTATCATATTATAATTTTTATGCAAATATAAAAATAAAAGTGGTTCTAAATTATCTTTATTAATGACAAAACCAAATAAAAATAATTATAATTATAATTTTCTTTGAAAATAAGATGAATAGTCAAATACAAGCATAAGAATCAATGACAACGACCATCTACTTAACAATTAGAAGTAGGGAACATATCCTATACACACAAGGTTTCCATACATACTCTATGCATACCAATCAGCAAATATCACGAAAAATTCTAAAAAAGATTGGACTTTTCAATAGGCAAATTCATTATCTATGAAATCTCATCTTCAAATTTATTATATTTTACTTGTAGAAAAGACAAAATTCTGACAGATTTTTACTCTGAAAACTGTCAGATCTCTCACTTTTTTAAGGCTAAAATATAATGAATTTGCATATAAGACTTTGTAATACTATTAAAAATACATGTCAGATTCTCTTTCGAGAATTTTTCGTGATATTTGTTAATTGGTTTGTACGGAGTGCATATAAAAAACTTGTATGCATAGGATATGTTCTATGAGGGAAAGTATTGTTTCTGGTCATGGAACTAACGTCTCTTGCCTGGAAATAAAATAATTGGCCATGACACCATCACTGCTGTAAAGAATTGAGAATTGACTCTACTTAATTAATTTTCTACTTGCATTACTATATGTAGACTCTCCAATGAGGGTTGGGATGCAAGCTAGGGGAGTGGGTAGACATAAAAGTGTTTTGATTATTACTGATGAAACTTCACCCTGTTGGCGGTGTACCAATTTCTCATTGTATGGATCCTCTAGTACTGCGGGAGGATCAAAACTTCTTCGTGCAAGCACAATACTACTACATCATTGCGTGCGATAATCTTATTTATACGGGATTACCTATTAATTGTTCGATAAATTTAAAGCTTCAAATCTACAGAATTTTCAACTAATGGATACAACTAGTTTTGAATGAAATAAGAAAAAAAGGAACAGGTCAAAAATTGTAAATCTAGAGACAAAAACAGTTATAAAATTTAATTTCGTGCTCTGCAACTGAGTGGAAATTCATTGTAACTAAGTGCTCCATAACCAAATATAAGTGTTCTATAATTGGGTGTAACTAAAAGTTGGATATGGAAACATGAATCTTAATGCAGCTTCATATGGATGAAAAATCGAAAGATAGAAGTGCAAAAATCTATCATACGTGAAATTGCAAATCTTAAACTGAAATACATAAATGACAACATAGTACGTCACAGTGGGTGGTAGGATCTCATGATATTTTTACCGATGTCATCCATTTTGCAGATAAATATCACAGGTAAGAATTCTCTATCATAATGTCCCTATGATTATAGCAACTAGTGTATGGGTTCCACCCTTATATTATCTCACATGTTAGTATACTTATAATGATAGTACCGTTATGATACACAGAGGTCACATCATGTCTGATTCTGCTACTCGCTGTGTTGCTGTCTCTGACAGCAGGGCCCCAGATGCAAGGCCTCACTACGTGGCCAATGCAGCCTGGGCTTTGTCATTGTAGGATTGTTATTTGTTGCCATACTTGAAATTGATAACATTCAAACGATAGATTTAGTATTTTACTCACTGCCAATATGTTGATTATAAAGTTGCACGACTTAGTTCTGTTTAGGTGCTCCTGTCGATCTATAATGGTTGGTAGGGCCAATATCTTTGTAAATTTTGGATACAGAGACGTATAAGGCTTGTTTGTTAGCAGTACTGTACTATCGTACCGTGGCTTGTTTGCAGCTCATAGCTGGACCCTGCTTTAGGGCCCTTTGAATCGTAGGAATAAAAAAACAGAGAAATATGAAAAACACAGGATACTGACAAGAATATAATTGTAAAACAGAGGATTGCAAAACACAGAAATGGCCGTTTGATTGGACCACAGGAAAAACGCAGGAATTAGATGAGAGAGATAGACACAGAAGAAATGTTCCAAGAGGTTAGACCTCTTGCTAATTTTCCTCCAAAATGTGCATAGGATTACCCATTCCATAGGAATTTTAAAGGATTGGAGCCTTCATAGGATTTTTTTCCTATAGATTGAAATCCTCTAAAATTTCTACATTTTTCCTACAAATCAAAGGGGCCCTTAATCCTGGTTTTAATCCTGCAGACCCAACGGCCTTTACTAGAGTAAAAAAAGAAAAAAAAATACTAGTAAGTAATACACGCTACAACACAAATATTAAGAGCAATTAGCAAAGCAAGCTAGAGCTGCGCCACCCTGCATTGCATATTTGCATATTTCTGGAATAAAGCCGCAGTGTCATGCACATCCATTCCCCATAAGGCCAAAAATCCATAATGATCCAAGAGTTCCAGAAGTGAGTGAACCCTCTATTCAAGACGCATATCATCAATCAATAACTCTCCTAACCCCACCGTTTTTCTCATTTTTTTAATTATTTTTGGGCTATCTCATTGTTTTACACGTGGCTGCTACTTCTCCTGCTCCTTGCGCGCGCAGGGGCAACCGCCCATAAGAGGTGCGCCGGTTAATTAAAATTTGGGCGCTGTGGTGGTGTGCATACGGGTTGGGGTGGAGGGCTGCTCCAGGTGAGAGGGCTGGGCATTTTTGTAAAAAACTCCTTGTGTTTGCACGGAATATCGTATACGTCCTCGGACCGCCTGACATCCCGTTGTATTTCTTGCGTATAACCCCTCGTCTTCTAGGAAAATACAATGCGAAGAAGAGAAAATTCCGCTTCTAGGGGTAGCGCTGTAAACATAAAAACCATAGGGGGTTTTCTACAAAACGTCCTACACTAACCCCCCAATCCCGAAACCCTTCCCCCATTCTCTCCCTCTCCTCCCCTCCCACCTCTCCTCTCTCGGCGCGGGTTCCGGCCAGAGCTGCCGCCGGAGGGCGGTGGCGGCGGCAGCGGCGGCTACTGACGGTGGCAGAGGCGGCTCAAGGCGGTGGCTGCGCGGAGGGTGGAGCCAGCGGCGGCTTCCCTCCCTCCTCCCAGATCCGGTGTAGGCGGAGGTGGATGGTGGAGGCGGCGCGTGCCGTGTAGGGTGGACGCGGCGGCGGCTCCGCCGGGAGGGGGGAGGGCGGTGGCGGTGGCGGCCCTCCCCTCTGGATCTGGCGAGGCGGCTACGCCCTCGGCTGTATCCGCCGCCGCCGCTGTCGGATCTGGCGACCGGAGAAGACGGCGCGGCGGAGGAAGATGACCGCGATAGGCGCTGGCGACGGAGCGGCGGAGGCCGACAGGTGCGGCACCATCTTCGCCTTCATCGCCTGCCGCCCTTGCACGGGACGTCACGTGTGCGTCGGCGTCGGTGCGCCCCTCCCCCTTCTCCTTCTCCTCGCGGATCCAGTGTTCTCTGTCCTCGGGAACGGCCTGGCGGGAGCGGGAGCGCCGGCAGCGCGCGGATCTGGCCGCCTCCGCCCTCGGGAGCGGCGGCGGCGGGCTTAGGCGGGCGGGAGCGAGCGGCCACGGCTGCGGCAGCTACGACAACGACGACGGCGACGGTGGCTGCGACGACGGCAATGATGCTGACGGCAGCTGCGACGAAAATGACGATTGTCTCCTCCAACCCCGGCACCGGGCCAGCCGTCGGCGACGATTTCACCTGTCTCGACCATTCCGCCGCCCCCAAAAGTATCCTCCCCCACTTGCGAGAGGACGAGGGACTGGCTCAGCATCGAGCCCTCCACGAGTGTGCAGCGCATCAGATTTAGGCTGCCTTCTTTCAAAGGAGATTGGGGAGATTGTCACTCGTTTTCCGCACGCACGCTTCCCAAACTATTAAACGGTGTATTTTTTGTAAAAAATTTCTATATGAAAGTTGCTTTAAAAATTCATATTAGTCCATTTTTGAAATTTAAAATAGTTAATACTCAATTAATCATGCGCTAATGGCTTACCTCGTTTTGTGTATCTTCCCAATCATCTCGATCCCCTCACCCTTTGCCTTAGACCATGTGTGTGTGTGCCCGCGCGCATTTCTTGGTAGCGTTTGTGATGCTGTTTCTTGGCTATGCTGGATTACATCCCCACCGTGTTCGACAATTTCAGTGCTAATGTTTCAGTGGATGGGAACATCATCAACTTGGGATTATGGGGCACTGCTGGTAAAACTGATTCTTCCATTGTTCTACTCTCTTCTACTGAGATTTTATTTTTCCTTTTTACTCATGCAACTGTCCAATCTCTGAACATCGTGTGTTCTTTTGTTTGATTCATCCAGGACAAGAGGATTACAGCAGGCTGAGGATTCTGAGCTACAGAGGAGCGGATATATTTGTGCTAGCATTCTCACTGATCAGCAGAGCGAGCCATGAGAATGTTCTCAAGGAGGTAGGTACCAGTACTCCATTTAGTTCCGTTTGGACTCAAAATGTCTGAATATCTGACAGCATGAGGATACTGACCACAGATACTGTACCAAAAACTTTACCTTTCCCTTCTCTGGTGGCGACGTTGGGTCAGGTGGCGGCGTCGGAGCCGGCGCCGGTGTCCCCCCCCCTTCTCCCTCCGCTCGCGGCGGTGTCGGGCGGGTGGCGCGTGGAACTGATGCCACCGGGGGAATCCTTAGCTCCCACTTGATGTTTCTCATGAGGTATGCTTCAATTCTGTTGCAGGAACTCGAATTCGATCTATGGCCGCGTTGGGGCGATGGCGGGGCTGATTTTATTGGGATTTTCCTGGTGGATGGGTGCAGGATGGAGTAAGACCGCGGGTTAACCATTTTCTCACTGGACGGGCGTCTGTTCCAGGTCGAGTATGCCATTGAGGTCATCAAGGCGAGTTTTCTGCCCTTGTGTTTTTATTTATTGTATCTGAGTGAGCTGGTGCTTTTAATCAAATCTAGACCGGGGTGAAGCTGAGATATTAGATTGTGTGATAATTGGGGGTTCCTCTCTTGGGAGAGGTTGAGATGTTTGATTCTGTGAGAACTAGGGGTTTCCAAGGGAGAGGTTCTAGATTTGGCGGATGAGTTGGCTTTAAATTTCAAATAGGGTGTTGAATTTTTTTTAGGATGGACTGAATTGTTAGGTGCATGTACTCTGATTTTTTGGTGCCAAAATCTCAACTGTAGTTCTATAAATTTTGGATGGTGTTCGTCAGGAGTTCTTTTTTCATGGTTATCGAGTGGGCTACGTCTTTAGTGCTATTCTGTTTCATGTTTCATTTGTGACTTGTTACATGTAAGTGGTGCTAATGTTGCTGATCCTACTGTAGTTTAGTTGGGGTCAACTGCGATCATGTTCACCACATATAATTGATGACCCCTTAGATCATAATGTTGGAGGTATATGTTAGGTTCTACATCCTTCTCTTTCTAGATAAGTATTATTGCAGGTGTCTAGGTGGAAAATAAAGTTTGGGAAAAAATAATGATCAAGAGTCCTCCATAACATATATAGATATAGATCCATGAAACATTATGATTTGTGCAAAATTATCAAACTACTGTGTATCATGATTTCATTAACTCTGGTAGTTCAGTTCATTGATGCACATTGATACTTGATAGCTTGGATATGCTGTATAATGAACACTGGATGGTGAATTGACCAGGAAAGTGCAAAATCTTGTGCTTAATTTTCTTCATTTTTGTAGGCTATCTCAAAAGGAAGGCAAAGCATAGAAGCACAGAACATTGTTCGAGTGAGTGCATATCTATTCCTTCGTTAGTATGTACAGCAGGAAAATTATGAAATCTTGGTTCTTCAAACTGAGTTCTTGGATTACCTCTTGCAACTTTACTTGGCCAATATACGCCTCAAGAATGCAGCAACTGATGTAGTTATTACTGTATATGAGCCACTGTTGATAAAGTAAGCCCAGTAGATCACTAATTACGATAAAGGTGATGGATTAATATTTACCTTCATTATTCACATCTGTTATTTCTTTTCAGATGGTCTTATGGAAGCAACACTATCTCATGCTCGTTCACCTAAACAGCTTAAGGTTATTACATTGATTTTGGCATTGGCTGCACCAGTTGTGTCATATGCTGGTTTGGTTATTTGCATGGTTGATGTTGTAATTGGGAGTATTGTACGCATTGATAGATACATATATTGAGCTTGCGACCTCCAAGAGGGTTCTCTGTTTTAAGATATGCTGTTTTTGTGATAGGACTAAAAATACTTTGTAACTTAACTGCTAATAGATTTTATAAGGCACCATATCAATTAATTTAAATCAACCAAACTGATGTGTACCTTAAATTTGCAGGAACCCTGGTGGCCTACCAAATTGGCTTGGCAATGTAGTAGTCTCTGTTGCCATTGCTATTGTCATATGTTTTACCTGTGTGTATCTTCTTTCTTACGTTCATATATCAGGTAAACCATGACACACTATATATATCATCATGCTTTGCTTCCCTTTGCAGTTACATCAATTTCTGTGATCATGTTTATTCGAAATCTCAAAAGTAGGTTCTGCATCAGATTGTTACACCTGTCCTGTCCACGAGATTGCATCCATCCAGAAGGGAATGAAAAGAGCATCAAGGCATTTTTGGCAAATTATTGATTTTGTTCTTGAGCGTGGCATTTACCAATCCATTATATATATATTGGTTTTATTACAGTACAAAGAAATCAAGTTCATGTTACTCGGTGCATTGTTCATACAGATGTATAAAAATGTTGGTGTGATGTGGCAATTTGAGCAATATTGGACCTTGCTTCTTATGGCATTCCAGTTGGCTGATGATTGCAGTTACATGTTGATGGCATCCTTATATGTGTAGTTATGTGGCAAAGCTTGTTTAACTGACTATTGTCTTTGTAACAAACAACCAATTATCCTTACTATTGTTACTAAAAATGTATACTCTCTCCCTTTGTGATGCTAACTGAATCACATACTTGATTATATACTGGTATTTCTCATTTAGTTACTTTCAACTAACTCTATGTACACATTGACGGGCGTGGCTTGAAGCCGCGCTTATTCATCTAGTACCTTCATCAGTAGCCCACCTATTCCTGTTCCGCGAGGGCACAACAAATAGCTTCCAGACGCATATCAGTATCGCTACTCACATTGACAAATTAAGCTCAACTTTTTAGGTATAGATCAGCTTACAACATGTTCTTACAGAGCCAGCCTATTTTATTGGTCACTGATCTGACCTGCGGACAGCTTAACAATCACATGTTTACATGACAAATGCACAACCTTTTGTTCCTATGAATGCTTAATCCTGTAACAATCTACCACCTAACAGACATTTTTCTGACTAACTCAGCTCCTTCACCTGCGAAAACAAGAATGCTACTCACTTAATATTTGAACAATACAGCAAAAGGTGACCGCATTGTTATGTCAATGGAAGGCAGTGATACAGGAAGAAATACATCGAATTTACCTCACCGAGTATCAACAGGTTCAACAGGTGGGTAAACACTCTCTAGTCACTCTTCGATGCACCCTGCCGAGGATCATTTCCTGAGGCAGCGGCTGGGAAGTCGGAGAGGCGAAAGCTAACAAGAGCTGGTCCAAGAGCACCGATTTTCCCTGCGCCTGCAAATGCTGCCTCAGCATCCATGCGCCTCTTGAAGATCACCTGAGCGCAGTTAGCATTGTTTGCAGTCTCTGCCTTGGCTTCATTGACGGGTCCATATTGGCTAAAGATTTTGATAAGGTCACTGCGTGACGGAACAGCACCTGGCCTGCTGAAGTGCAGCACTAGTCCAGCAAATGAGGAACTTTCCGTTTCTTCAGAACTTACTTTAGTTCCATTTGCAACACTCAGTTGTGTTTCTGCATTCGGTTGCTTGTTCTCTGAACCTTCAACAGTTGGTCCCTCTATATTTCCCAGTGATGATGATTTCATGGCAGGTTTTTTAACATGTTCCTTCTTTCTTGTTCTGTTCACACCCTTATCTTTCTTTTTTCTGAGACTAGACAGTGGTTCCTCCACATTAATCAGAATGTCAGCCCAATAATCATCCTGCATATGATCAGCCAAGGGCTGTTCCAAAGGAGTGGGCTCAGTGCCGGCAGCTTTCTCAGGAATATCCTCATCAACATCAGAAAATGAAGCACAGGATCCAGTGTTAGTTGCCTTCCCATATATCTCCTTCTCAACATCAGACCTAGAAGCATACGAGTACTTCCTGAAATCAGTAAAGAAGTTCATGCCTGCACTGGAAAATCTCTCCTTTTTCTTAAGATTAAATACTGCTAGGGAGAGCTGTGACAGCATTTCAGAACAAGACAGGGAATTTTCTGTCAAGGTATCAGTCTTGCCCTTTTTCACCTTCAGAGAATGTGCAGACTTGTCTGGAGCATTTACTTGTCTTTCTTTAGTGCTACGAGAATTCTTCTGAGATACTGCGCCATTAGCTTTGCGAACGGGTCGTGTCTGTGACATTTGTCCAGCAGCTTTGTGCATCAATTCTCCAACCTTTGTAGTGCTCTTGCGGGAGACAGGCTGTGGCTGGGAAGACAAATCCCCCAATGTGTCAAGTTTCTTTCTTTTCCTAGTCTTCATTGTATCCTCCAAATCACGATCAGGATCCTCAAGTTTCTCAGTTGATGCATCCATAGAACGCTTGCCTCGAGCCTTGCTTTTACCACCAGAAGAAGGATTAGGCACATCTGTCACTGCCATAAGTTCAGAAAGTTTCTTCTTCTTCCTACCCTGCTCTGAGATTCGCGCTTCTGAAGCTACCGAGGTTTCACCACGCGTTGACCTCTTGCCAGAAGAAACAGAAACATTGGCATTGCCATCTTCAAGTCCGTCCCCATCCCCTGTGGTTTTATACTTCTTGCGTGCAGAGCCAGCTCTACGCCCCACCTTATTCTCCTTGAGCAAAGCAGTATTCTTCTCTTCCACCTTTAAGGATTCAGCACCACTATCCTTTCCCCTGCCTTTCAAGGCTACCGGGGTGCCTCCCTTCATGCGTGTTGATCTTGTTCTGCGTGCTGATTTGCTGTCACTCAAGGTTTCATCCACAGCCTTCTTGGACAGTTTTTTGCTTGCACCAACTGTTTCAAGCCCATCTGCATCTTTTGAGGTGTTTTTGTTCTTCTTTGCTGATCTGTTCTTGTTCTTTGACTTCTTTGTTTTAATCGATGTATCATCAGTTGCCCCTTTCCTTGGCACAGAACCTTTGTCATCCATATCAAGCCCATCTGCATCTTTTGAGGTGTTTTTGTTCTTCTTTGCTGAATTGTTCTGGTTCTTTGACTTCTTTGTTTTACTCGATGCATCATCTGTTGCCCCTTTACTTGGCACAGAACCTTCGCCATCCATATCAAGCCCATCTGCATCTTTTGAGGTGTTTTTATTCTTATTTACTGCACTGTTCTGGTTCTTTGACTTCTTTATTTGTCTCGATGTATCAACTGTTGCCCCTTTACTTGGCACAGAACCTTTGTCATCCATATCAAGCCCATCTGCATCTTTTGAGGTGTTTCTGTTCTTCTTTGCTGCACAGTTCTGGTTCTTCGACTTCTTTGTTTTACTTAATGTATCTTCTGTTGCCCCTATACTTGGCACAGAACCTTCCCCATCCATAATCTCCTTCTTTCCAGCCTCCGGCAAAACCTTTTTCTTGCGTGATGAACTCTCACCACGCCTTGGCTTCTTCTCCATGTCCATCACATCATCCCCACCACTTTTATCCATCCTTTTCCTCTTGGTGTGTGGGATCGCCACAGAAACATCCTCAATCCCCTCAAAGGTCACAAACTCAGGGAGGTGCCTACTACCCCTTGAGCAATTGAATGCCCTAAGCTGTGCTTTGGCAGTTGTAAGTTCGAGACGGTCGGCACCAGCCAGTGGATTCATTCCCAGAGCTAAGATGTAGTCAAGAAATGGTCTACCATGATATGCGCCCCTCATGTACGCACCATCTACAACAGCACCATAAGCCCCTTCACGGATGCCAGAATTCTCAATCTCTTGCCTCTTGCCAATGCTACTACCAAAGCAGGTGCATGAGAGGCCTACCTCTACACGGCGACCAACCTCTTGCAGTGCAGCATCCACAGCGGATACAAAACCAGACATGGTGCTCTGGCTGGCCAGGCGCGTGAAGTTGCTGCAGAATGGCAGAAGTGAGGAGGCATCGCTCCAAGCGAAGGTCTTGTCCCAGAAATAGGCGACAAGGGGAGCGCCTGCCCTGGTATGCTTCAGCGCAAGCTTGGAAGCATCTGCAGCATCAAACACCTGGCCCGGCCACCATGGGTGACTCCGCACCTTGCCCCAGACAAGCTCTGGCGGTGCAAAATCATGGCCTCCCTCATCCTGAAAAGTGCAGTCATAGCGCGCGCTTCCATGGTTTCCCTCTTCCTCCTCCTGCGGTGGCGGTGATGGTTGGTTCTTGGGGCGGCCAGAGCGAGGGCTTTTGAGAAGCTGAAACAACCCACAATTAATTAGATTCTAATTAAAAATTGTATATCTTAATTCGATCCATGCGATTGGTTAAACAAAAGAATGGCAACTTGGTTAAAAATTTAGAAGCTAGAACTTTTTTAACCCAAATTATATACAAAAAATTAATTAGACATGATACTATTGTCTAAATTATACAAATTGTGGTAATACACTAAATCTTCACCATCCATAATTAGTACAAACATGAGTATAACAATATTTTGAGGTATAATACTTAAAATTACATCAGTGCATACACTTTGTTTAGCATACAACAAACTAAGCAGAATACACCGAAGTATAAATCTAGCTTTGCCATGAGTTATTATCATGTACAGACAACAAAATTACCTACATAAAAGCTCTGTTAGGTGTCTTAATCTAGCTTAATATTTCCTCTAGCAATACCCAAAACACTTACAAGTCACCAGCCATATTATGTCATATAGCAGCCACACATCACCACCATGGGAAGGAGCCACACTTGACCTTGTCCAAACATCAACAGCCAACAGTACAAGCATGTATGCGCAACCATTTCTATACAACGATAAGATTGCAGGACGAGCAGAAACAAGTAGTAGAGGAGGAAGAACCTGCGCCACTACATATCCATTCCTACCCTCTTCATCTCTGCCCCCCTACAAGTATGATTCCTAGAATCCAAATCAACAGCAAATCACTATCACTAACTCAAATGTAGCCTAATCACTCTCCTCGTAGCAGAAAAAAAAAGAGAAAGAGATGAAACACTAGATATATTGAAATTAGGGTTCCAAAACCCCCCACATCGAAGCACACACAAGGCCTTTGCTCAAATTTCACAGCTCAATACCTGAGAAAGCTCACAAAGGGTAGCACTAGCACAGAATTCGAACCGGAGAGAAGAGCATAGGCACCTACCTCACCGCCGGCAGCGGGTCGGCGCCGACCACCGCGCTCGCCAGTTACGGCGGCTTGCTTGGAGCGCCTACGGCCGGAGCTCTCCGTTGGTGTTTCCCCACCCGACGATGCGCTGCGGGTTCGGGCTGCGCGGCGCGCAGAGGGGGTGCGAACGGCGTCAGTACCCATGGCCTATGCAGCGGCAGCAGCAGAGTTTTTAGGGTAGGGATTTGGGGGAAGAAGCAGCCATTAGCAGGAGCAGGATGTGGGAGATTTGGGGGAACCGCCTGCTCCCGAGAGCCGAGCAGCAGCAGGACGGTTTTGTCTGTCTCCCGGGCGAAAGCCGAGCTCCGGTGAGAAGGCGGCGGCGGCGGCGGGTGGGGATGACGTCGACGGCGGATGCTCGAGGTCGGGGAGAGAGGGGCGTGCTGTGGATGGGGATTGACCGCGGAGGGACAGCTATACGTTCCCATCAGTGGGCTTATTGGGCTGTTCTTCAATGGCTTTTCGGCCCATCATAATTTTCTTTTTTCACGCTTAGGTCCTGTTTGGCACAGTTCCACGTCACAGTTACATAATAGATTATTTGAAGGTTGTATGTTAAATTATAAATGTTTAAGAATTTTAGATTTCATTTAAAATAAAAAAAATAGTTTATTCATATGTTAAATTATAAATGTTTAAGATTTTCAGGTTCTATGTGATGTGATGTGTCATGTGTAAAATACCCACTTTAAAAGATCTTGGATCTGAAGCTATACCAAAGAAATCATTTTAGTTGTTTATTGTCTCAGTGAAAAACTATGGTAATTTCAATATGTTTAGAAAATCTTTTGTGCCAATAGGTTAGGGCAAGGCCAATGCTTATGGTTCCATCAGCCATATATGTGGGACCCGCTATAGTAAGCATTAGTTATGTCCATATCCACAATGGCTGTGCCTATGGGAGAAAATAAGCTGGGTCCCAATGGGTCCCACCGAAGGATAAAAAAAATCACTTCTTATCCTCCTGTGAAACTCTTTGCACAATGAAAATTCCCCAAAAGTACTAGCGTGAACAACACATCACAAAAGTATTATATTCTATGTTAGAGTTTGGATATATTGCATGTACATTTGATAATACTCCCGTATGGCTGAGGATAGAGTTTGTTGTGTTAGTTAGATAAGATATGATCAATCTCTGTAGTTTAGCTGTACACAACAAACTCTCACCGAAGCTATTTATCTCTTGTAATCCTGTCGCCCGATTGTGGCATTATTATCAACACGTAACCTCCTCACCGTAGGAGTTCCTCGCTTCCACATTCTATAGTCTTGTTGCCACACCATAAGGCTAATGCTTATTTTTGATGTCAGATTCTTATGGTCCACTTTCACAATACTTAAGGTTACTTTCACAATGCTTAAGGTGATATACTTTATAGTAGTATGTATTTGTAGGAATCTTCCTGAATTATTTCACAGCCTTCGTTTCAAATTTAAATTGGAACAAACTCTGTCTAGTTTCTCCCCATTACCTCCTTTTAGCCCATGTCCAGAGCATGAATATTTCCCGGTTTTCGACTCATCATAATGTTAATCAACAAATACAATATATTACTTAAACTAGTTGATACCTTGCACGGTTGCTTCAGACATTGGTAGAATGAAATAAGAATCAATTTCTTGCAAATTAATTTAGAAAATGATAAGTTTGAGTGTGGTAGAGCACAACGTTTTTTTGTTAAAAGGGATATGCCAAAAGGAAAAGGATGCTCCGATGGTAGTAATCTGTAGAGGAAATTGTATTTGTTACCTTAAATGATCAATGTCGAAACAAGATTTCGGCAATAATAAAAGGGGGTGGCTATCAAGCTAGAAAAGTGGATGGGTTTGGAGACAAGGAATTTTATACAGGTTCAGGCCTTCTTATTTAAGAAGTAATACCCTACTCCTGTCCGGGGATGATTCCGCCGAGTGTGTTATTGATTGTATGATTGGGAGAAAAAAGAATCGTCTCGAGAGGAACCCGGACCCCTCCTTATATAAGGGAAGGGATCTGTATTACAAAGTACAGTCCATATCCTAACGGAATATGGGATTACAGATAAAATACAATCGTAACCGACTAGGATCCCGAGTATTTTCTTGACATACAAGTTTAGAATCTAACCCGAGTCCTCATAAAGATATTCTATCTATATTTGGTACTGTATATCCGACTAAAATATAACTGTCATGCAGATATGGGGTATCCATTATCTCCACAGTAGCCCCCGAGACCTTCGTAGTTGACGAAATAACCTTCTCGAAACAAAAACCAGTAGTCCGAGTGCTTCAATTCAACTTGCTCCAGCTTGCCGAGTAGTAAAAATCAGAAACTGTGAAGGGCGAAAATAAAACATGGTGCATCGAGTAGATGCACCTAATTAGGTGTAGCCCCCGACTATGTGAAAAACTAAACATATAGTCAAGAACCGAGTGGTTTTATAGCGAAGCACGCATGGTACTTAGTAAGATACCCAGCCGACTGCTCCTCAACTAGAACATATCAAGGACAAAAAATATAAAAAGGGCCGAATGATAAACACTCAAAAGGTCCAAAAATAGATATATTTGGTAAGAATCCAAGTAAGAAACTCTTAAAATGATCCACCAAATATGATAAAGATCATGGTAATTAATAAGTTCATTAGCCTAGGCTATAACCCTTACCACAATCAAAATAAGCATATAACATGCTAGGAGAATGACTACTAATAAACCAGTCATCTCAAATTAACCCAATAGCTTTTGTAGCCTAAAAAGGTTTACAAAAATGGTATAACACCTTTCTGTCGGGCACCTTTTAATGTGCATCATAATAATTCCAAAGAATTATTGAATCGCGTTAAAAAGGATTTTAACAGCATCGGGCCGCATCATCGTGAGCACATATTGCCAAAGCAAAAAGCGCCTAAGTTCCTAGGGATCACAACAGGCCACGCTAATTATAGTATTGGGCTGAAGTACTGTATAGGTCCAGGCCCATTAGTACTCCCGATACCCTAATAATGCCGAAGTGAAAAACGGCTCTTCGTCTTCCCCGCCGAGACTCTCGCCATTTTCAACATTCCCTGCTACAGTGCAAAACTGCGCCGGGCAAACTAGGGTTCATCGATCCGCTCCAATCCACCCTCAAAAACTTCGCGAAATTTCTCCTCGCATCCACCGCTCCGATTCCCCATCCCTTTCCAGCCGTATCTCGAACTAAATCAGACCGTCCAGTTCACATTCATGGCAGAGGAAAGAGAAAGCTTCGAAAGTCAGTGGGCGCCCTCCGATGTAACGGAAGACAATCTGAAGGAGATGGTGGCGCACGTCGTTCTTCCAGCAAAAGAGATCATCGGGTGGCGACCGGCATTTGGTGAGGCATTCCCGACCCCAGATACACATGAGATCGTGGTATTCGCTCATTTCTTCTATGGCAGATTTTCTCTTCCAACCTCAAGATTTTTCCGGGGAATTCTAAACTTCTACGGGATTAGCTTGCATCATCTGAATTCAAACTCCATAGTGCATATTGCCAATTTTATTCATGCCTGCGAAGCTTTTCTGGGCATTAGGCCTCATTTCGCCTTGTTCCACCGCATCTTCTTCCTCAAGCCCCAGCCAAATAAGAGCAAACCATGCGTCGTTGGGGGTGCTGGTTTCCAACTCAGGGGAACTCTAAGCCAAAAATACTTCTCCATGCCCTTCAAGACCTCAAATAAAGGCTGGCACGCAAACTAGTTTTATGTTCAAAACCCCGAGCCTGTCCTTCCCGAGTACTCCTGTCTTCCTCCAGTTTATCAGGATACTTGGAACTCGCTGCCAATGGGAGATGAAGCCGCACAAGCAGTAGAACTGATGGAGAGGATGATAAAGCTGAAAGAACAGGGCCTTCAAGGAGAACAGATCACCAGGCACTTTATCAAGTGTCGGTTAGCTCCAATCAAAGAAAGATCTCGTACAGCCTTCGAATTCGACGGCAAGCATGACCCAAACCGTGAAGACCCAGATTCTCTTGACTTCAAGGTCATGAAGGAAAGGATGTATAAGATCTTTTCAAACGCCATCGTTGTCAGCTACTCACACTTGCTGCCAGTCGTACCGTTCAATGCATTCAATCCTCCTCCACCGGTACGCATTCATACACTTCAACCTTTTTCAAAATATGATCGTCTTCTTGTTGAATCAGTTAACAATGAAAGATATTATACCCAGGAATTTGCTTTGATGAAGTCGGATCCCCCAATTGCTCAACGCCAATCTCCCCGCCGCCAAACTGGGCAAGGGAGCGGAGGACCAAGAATTCGATCCGAAACTCAACCAAGTGCTTCTGATCCAGTCGGCCAGTCAGATTCTCGAAAGAGGAAGCTGGTTCTAAGTGACGACGAAGCCGATGATACCACCAGGAAGCCTGGAGACCGAGAGACAACCAAGAAACTACCAAAACAGGCTACTCCAAGGAAGAAAACATTCAGTCGCCCTGCACCAAAGATCAGGAAGTCTTCTAGGTACAACTCACATAACGATCTCTCTTGCATTGATGCGCATCCATTGCGGCAATAACACCGATAATCAAATTTGCAGGAAACCATCTGATATAGATCCGTCCGGGAAAGACTCTAACCCGACTAACGTAGACACAAGTTCTTCCAAAGAAACCGGACCAACTGCTGAGGATCATCCGAGTGACAATCAGCCGGCAACGGACAATGTAGAACCCAGCAACGAGCCCCCGATTGGGAACCAGTCGGCCGAAGCTGAAGTCGGTGCTAACCAGGAGCCCCCGACCGGAAACCAGTCGGATGCAGGGGCAAACGAAGAGATTCCAGAAGTCGAAACCCAAGCAGACAACCCTCAGGGACAAGACGCCAGCAATGACCGGAGATCTGGATCTCCTTTAAAAGCATCTGAGTCCACTCATCCTCGTCCAGAAATCATTACAGGTAAACACTTTGTCTGAAACCATGTTGACCCAAATAACTCTGATCAATTGTCTAACCTTTGTTAGTGAATACATTAGGACCAATAATTGGTGATGAAGAAGAAATCCCCCGTATACAAGCAGCTGAGGATTCATGCCCTCCGATTCTGGTCAAGTGGTGGGATGACAACATGCAGCCTCAAGGGATCGTGATAAGTAAGAAAAAAGAGGACGAAGAGTTATGCCTACTGAAGAAGGCACTCGGTCAGGCAACACGCATTGTAAATGTAAGCCCTCTGGTACTTGATCTCAACCATCTCGTTTGCCATTTAATTCATGCGCTAATTAAACTGTCTTGCAGAGGATTCATCTTAGGAACGAAGCCAAAACGGCAACCTTAGAGAGGTTAGTCCCTCATCTCGGAACCCTCGAAGCCACCAGGAATCAACTGCACGAAGTGAAAGAACTTGCCAGGAAGAATGAACATGATCTACGGGATCGGATCGCTGAGCTCCAGGAATC